AATTAATAACATTATAGAATCATTAACGATTCTCGGTGATGTTACAATCTATTTTTATGTACAACATTTTGGCAATTTTTCTTACCCTCTCTTGCCGATGATAGTAATAGGAGCGAGCCAACCGAGAGGATCAAATAGCTGAGCTATTCGAGAGAGGATTGATCGTTTGGTGAGCTTGCTGATTGGTGCGGAGTTGTTGACGTGGAACTTAAAGGAATCGGACGCTGGGTGCCACGTAAGTCCAAGCGTTCGAGCTTCTGAATGAAGCTCTAGAGTTGACGAGCTCGTTGAGGAGGCCGAGAGATTTTGAAGAATGTCGTCGTAGTTGGCTGACCACTTCTGCAGCTTGAAGCCGCCCGCCTTGAGGAGCTCGACTAACTGAAGGACCTTGACTTGTGCCTCTTGCAGATTATCGGCACCTGAAAGAATATCGTCCACGTAAATCGCTGTTCGCACGATGTTGGCAGCTTGCGGGTGGAGGTCTTCTTCATCCGTAGCGAGTTGCTGAAGAACTCGCAGGGCCAGGTAAGGTGCACAAGTCAATCCATACGTTACGGTGCAGAGTTGATAACTGCGAGGTGAATCCGTGGAGCTCCAGAGAATCTGCTGATAATGTCGATCATCAGGATGTATCACGATCTGCCGATACATCTTCTCGATGTCGGCGGCAAATGCGAAAGCGTGCATTCTCCAGCGCAAGATGACTGCGTCGAGATCGAGTTGAAGCTTCGGACCGGCGTGTAGGCAGTCATTTAGTGAGATTCCGGAGGTGGTGCGTGCTGATCCATTGAAGACGACGCGCAACTTAGTAGTCGAGCTGGCTTCACGCAAAACCCCGTGATGAGGCAGGAAGACCGATGTGCTGCTGTGGTGAAATGAAGACGAGATCGGTGTCATATGGCCTAAATTTGCATACTCTTCCATGAACTCGGAGTAGAGCTTCCCGAAAGCCTCGTCACGGAGAATGCGTTGACGGACTCTCGCGAAGGATCGTTGAGCTGCTGTGAGAGAAGAGCCTAGTTAAGTGGAGGTTGATCGGAAGGGCAACCGAACAATATATCGACCGGTGTCATCCCGAGAATGCGTGGTACGAAAATGATCTTCACACGCTTGCTCTTCCGGAGTGATGAAGGAGGATGTGATCGATGTGACACCCTCTTGTTCCCAGAATGTTTGTAACGTATCGTGAAGATCGATGTCGGAAGGAGTGCCGCAGGAGAGGATTGAAACTGTGCGAGACAACGATGACGAAGAGTTAAGCGGCCCTGACACGATCCAGCCCAATGTGGTATTTTGAGCGACGAGTGAATTAAACGGGTCGCGTTTAATGTCGCCGAGTAGCAAGGAACCGTAGATATCGGCTCCGAGGATGATGTCTATTGAACCTGGTGTAGCGAAGTCCGGATCAGCCTACTGCAGGTCGTTAAGATGCTTCCATGAAGTCGTAACAGGACTTGAGGGTATGCGGCCTACACCCTTTCCACAAGGGTGAGACACCCTTTCCACAAGGGTGAGAGGAGAGGCGAGCGAGAGGGAGGAGCTGATGAGGGAAGAGCTCACAGCCCTCAAAGCTCAGGTCGCCGACCTCCTGCGAGAGAGGGAGGAACGGGATCGGAGGGAGATGCCACCCCCCGACCCACCACAGGCGAGGCGGAACACCACCCCCACGGGGGAGGTGGTACGGGAGGAGGAGATGCCAGAGGTGGCCGCTGATGGGCTGCCAATGGAGTCTCCTCCCCCCGGAGAGACGGCGGCCGACCCGCCCGCGGAAAAGAGGACCTGGGAGGTGGTTACGCCGGATACGGTCGGCACCTCCCGGGCCTCGACGTCGGGGGCGGGAAAAACGCGGGCGGGGAAGAGGGAGAGGTCCGCCTCGAGGAAGCGGACCAATCCCTCGACCCCTGGGAAGAGCCCCCTCTACCATCCCCCCACGCCCCGCAGAAAGCGGGGAAACCTCTGCCAAAGAAGGCAGAGGAGATCACGGGGGAGTGGATACGGGGGGAGATAAAGGAGGCCGTCGATCGGTCCCACAAAGAGCTCGATCGGCGGCTCCAACGGATGGAGGACCTGATCCGGGCTCTGGCCGGCGGCGGAGCCCGTGATAGCGGCCCCGCGGCGGGCCCCTCCAACCCTCGAAAGGGTGGTGGGGGCGCCGTGGGGGGCCGTCCAGCAGGGCGGATCAGGGGGGACGAAAGACCCTCCAGGGAAGGTCGCGAACGCTGCGGGAGGGGGGGCCCAAGAAGAAGAAGAAGAAGAAGGCCCCCCTCTCGCGGCAGACGCAGGAGATTGAGGAGGTGGGTTCCTCTAATAAAGGGAACACCAAGCCCTCCCAGCCCGCCGCGGGCGTCGAGTCGTACGCGGCGGTGGTTGGGAGAAAAAGTAGGGCCGCGGGGAAGAAGGCGGCAAAGGGAGCCTCCAAGGCGGCCACCCCCGGTGCCCAGGCGAAGGGGCGGGTTGGCGGTCCGCCCAAAAAAGCCCCCAGGAGAAGACTCCCGCGTACGTCGGCCGTTGTGGTCACGCGGCCCAACGGCGACTACCGGGAGGCCCTGGCCAAGCTGCGGCGAGAAGTTAGGCTAGAGGACCTTGGCATCGGGGGCATGATCAACATCAGATCAGGGGCCACCGGTGCCAAGGTCATCGAGGTCTCCGGAGAAGGTCATGCCGACAAGGCCGACCTTCTCGCGGAGCAAATTAGGCGGGTCCTCCCTGAGGAGGACGGGGCGCGGGTGGACAGGCCGAGGAAGATGGCCGAGGTCCGCCTGCGAGACCTCGACAACACCATGGACGTCGAGGAGGTGAAGGGGTGTGTAGCAGGGGCTGAAGGTGCGGCGTCTCCGACGTGCAGTGCGGGGCGCTGCAGGTAGCCGCCGGAGGCAAGTCCAGCCTCTGGATGCGCCTACCCCTTACAACGGCGAGGGAGCTGTCCCAGAAGGGACGAGTAAGGGTCGGCTGGGCGATGGCCCGGGTGGACCTTCTCGAGGCACGCCCCATGCGGTGTCATAGGTGCCGCGAGAGGGGCCACACGAGGGTGACCTGTCCCAGCGCAGTGGACAGGAGCGGGAGGTGCTACCGGTGCGGTGAGACCGGTCACACCTCCCACGATTGCCGGTCTGCCCCCAAGTGCCCGCTGTGCGCGGAT